AACTCTATTTTTGTGTTCCCACTGTTCTTAGGGTATGTTTGGTTCAATGGAAGGGGAGTGGGTGGGGGGGGGTGGGGGTGGGGATTAATGAATTATGTTAAAATATGTAGATTGTTAGAAGGAATCAACATTTAATGATCATTTCAAGATGGGAGGGGAGGGGATTCCATACTTACATTAATGAAAAAAATCCAAACATGGCTGGGAGTGAGGCTCCTAAGTACGAAAATGAGTAATAGCCAAGCACACACTACGTGCTCGACAAGAAGCAGAGGTACACATTTCTTCAAAAAGAAAGAAAAGAAAGAAGAAGAAGTACACATCTCATCAGTCATCAGTACCTTCTAGAACATGGCACATTGTCTAGGAACACAAACTGGTCTTGAAGAGATTGAGAAGGGGAGGACTACACAAGAGCAGATGGGCCCCATTCGTGAGAGAGCGCTTAGAGTTTGGGAGCAAGGGAACAGAAGTACAAACCAATGTTAGTACCTTGTTCTAATTTTCAAATTGAAAACACATGGAAACGTAGTGACAAATGGGTCAAAGTCAACCAGTCATCTTTTGCATTTCGGGTGATGTTGTCCATAGCCCATAACTCACTTGAATAAAAACCTTTCTCATATACTCATACCCACCTTCATGTCTTTAAGATAAAAGCTTCAAAGTATTGAATTCTGATTCTACAAATTAGATGAAACAAAAGTTCATTATTTATGTTTCATTGAAAACAAATTTGAGAGATTGTAGCCCTTCATAGCTAATGATCCTAAGAGCAACATATTATAACAGCTGGTTTTGATAATTGATACACAAATTGACAATGCATGCATCACAAGCAACCAAATTCTCATAAAAACCTAAGAGAGAATTTATGGCCTGAGTTGAGATGTAGTTCAGCTAAGTTTTCTAGATCTTAATGCAAAGAAAAAGAAAATAGAAGTGAGAAAATATGTCCTGAGATGTACCGGTCGCATCAGCCTAGAAGTACACAAATTGAATTGGCATTGGTTTCTCATATGAGAAAGCTCAACTTCCCGTATGGAATTAAGATGCGTGATTCTATGGGTCATTTGACTTACTTTAGTTCTCTGTCATTTTCATTAATTTTACAAATTTGATACCATAATACTGGTAATAATAATGCAGATAGCGAATTCCAGCGCAATCCTTTTTATTTATTATTTCATATTTAGCTCATCAACTCATGACACAATAATATTGGTATTGGTCCTACATGATATTCCTTCAATGCTTTGGGTCATCCGTGTAACTATCCGTTAAAATGGTGGGCTATTTCATGTACTCTATGGTAATATCAACAGACATTCTTTTGTGAACAAGGTTTATTCCACATTTAGTCTTGTGTAAAAATAGTATTTTAAAATAAAAATAATATATTTTTGTTTCATAAAAATATATTTTTTGTAATAAAAACATTTTTTTATATTATTTTGTATACACTCCCAAACAACTCTCTCCATGCCAATGTGTTTGTCCGATAATTAATTGCCCCATATTAATTTTTGGGCCGTCTTGGTTTATTTTTTTATTTTCCTTATAGAGTGATTTTAAGAGTGCCATGAGCCATCTTCAAATAAAAAGTAACGTCAAAATTGTTATTCACCACCATTTATTTCCTCCTCTTTGCTTCACGTGCCAACACATTGCAACGGAGGGAATATTTTATATCGTCCAATAAAACTGTGATTTTTTTAAGTAATGCGTGTAATTATATAAAATTTTAGTTTCCAAATCTACACTTCAGTGGATTTAGGTATGAAAGATTTCAATAGTTAAAAAAATCACAGCTTATAATTTTTACTTACTTTTTAAATATATAAAATTTTAGTTTCCAAATCTACACCAATTATCAAATAAATTGACAAATTAACTCTAGTTAAACAGTTTAAAACAAAAGTGTAACCTTATTTTGGGACGGAGGGAGTGTATGCATTTTAATTTTAAGTAAAACTACACATAATAAATACGTAGTTTTTTAATACTCCGGGTACAATTTTATTCGGTAATATAATTTTTCATTGAAAAATATTATTTAAGAGTGTATATAACGTTAACAATAAAAACATTATTACAATAATAATACTTCTATTAAAAAAAGTTATTTTATCTTATTATGATTATGATAATGATTATTATTATATTTACAGGGGCCTTAGGGCTTAAACATGGAATAAATTCCATTTACAAAAGAAGTCCTCCAATCAGTATTTACTATAGAAGTGACAAAACAACCATGCATTTTGACGGTAAGTTAATGGATGGTCCTCATAAGACCGTGTGTCAAAGCCCGAAATGAACTTCAAGTATGTAGGTCCAGTATAGATATTACCGTTTGTAATGAATTAAATATCAAATAATTCTAAATAAAAATTATGTGTGTTAGAATTTACTCTCTATATTATTATGATCAATGCTTTGATACCAAACCAGTAAAGTTAATGAAAACGGGATAGGAATAAAGCAAGTTAAATTATCTTCCTAGAATCAGGTGTCATGGTTCCATACGAGAAGTTAAAAATTCTCCTGAAAAGCTAAGAAAAGATTTATTCAAGAAGCCATTGCCAATTCATTTTGTGTACTTCGAGGCTAGATGCTCTCCCTCATTTTGCACCTGGTCTTCAAGACATCTGCTTTTTACTTCTCTCTTGTTTATTCTTTTTTTTACATAATGATAGAATTTTTATCCTAATTGATACGAGAGATTCTTTCTTAGGTGTTTATATTAATTTGTTCGTGTTGCTGCAGCAGCTGCAATAGTGCTTCATGTGCTTTCAAAATTGAGGCTTAGAACCAAGTGTATAGCTTTGCTGTTTTCAGGATCATTTAGTATGAAGGGCTACTCGAGCTGGGGGTCTCTCTTGGAAACAGCCTCTCTACTCTCGAGTAGGGGTAAGGTCTCTGTACAACCCTCCTCAGACCCATCTCTCGAGGGATTCTAATAATTCTACTGGGTTGTTATTTTGTAGGGCTACAAATTTTAAACCTGTTCTGTATGCCATAAATAATAGACTTTTGCTTCATTTAATTCAAAATATCAATATTCAACAACTTTTATGTTAAAGATATAAAGGTGAGTATGAGTATATTAAAATGCTTTTATTCAAGTAAATTATGGGCCATGGACAATCTGGAAGATGACTTATTGCCTTTGTTTGGTGCCCAGATAAAAAAATGCTCTCCTGTTTGTTAGCTTAGTTGTGCTTGTTAAAGGAGGCAACTTCCCAGGCGAGCACCCACTCGCACTCTAAAATGAGCTGAAGAGTCATGTCCTTCGATTCATTTGTCACCATGCATTCAATGGGTGCTTTCTCGCAGTAGGATGAAACATAGCAATAAATTCCTCTACAAATATTCAATTTCCTCCACCAACATTTCGCCATGCAGCATGGCGTTTTTTAATTTTTTTTTGTTTTTGCCGTCTCACATGGTGTTTTGTTTTTAATTAATTTTTTTTCTTTCTTTTTCGGTAAATCGTGTACACTCGCGCGATCAAGGATATGTACGATAGGGCTATGACCAGGGTAAGGACTTCTGGGGGCGACTCAGATTCTTTCTCGGTAGGGATGGGGTTGCACCAAGGGTCTGCCCTTAGCCCTTTTTTGTTCGCCTTGGTGATGGACGTCCTAACTCAAGGTGTTCAAGAAGGGGTCCCATGGTGCATGCTTTTCGCGGATGATATTGTATTGTGCTTATCAACGACACACGTGAGGGACTTAACGATAAGTTGGAACTATGGCGCCATGCCATTGAGACTAAAGGATTCAGGATAAGTAGGAGCAAGACTGAGTACATGGAATGTCGTTTCAGCGGCCGGGATACAGAATCAGAGGTGGAAGTCAGGATTGACTCTCATCTAGTACCTAAGGTAGACAGGTTTCGATATCTTGGCTCGGTAATCCAGGCTGATGGGGATGTTGGACACCGTGTTGGAGTGGCTTGGGCCAAATGGCGGTTAGCTTCAGGGGTGTTGTGTGATCCGAAGATTTCGCCCAAAATGAAAGGTAAGTTCTATCGATCCGTAGTCAGACCTGCTATGTTATATGGGGCGGAGTGTTGGGCGGTTAAGAAGACTCATGTGCGTCGTTTGCATGCGGCGGAGATGCGGATGTTACGATGGATGTGTGGGAAGACAAGGTTGGATAAGATTACGAACGAAGTCATTCGATGTCAGGTAGGCATGGCACCGGTGGAAGATAAGTTGCGAGAAGCGAGGTTGAGATTGTTTGGCCATGTGAGACGGCGGGATGCTGACGCCCCTGTACGGAGATGCGAGAGGATTACAGTTATCGGGGGTAGTAGGGGAAGGGGTAGACCCAGGAAGAATTGGAAGGAGGTGATTAGGCAGGATTTAGGACTTCTCGACCTGACTGAGGATATGGCCTTAGATAGGAACCTTTGGAAAACTAGGATTAGAGTAGTTGGATAGGAGCTCAGTGTTGTAGAGGTTGTTTTGTAGTGTGTTGTATTTGTTTAGAATCTTTTGCTATGGCTTGTACTTGTTGCTTGTACTTGGCGCTTTATATGTGCTATATTGTGTTCCCTTCCATATTTTTGTGCAGGTGGAGCCGGGGGTCTCTTGGAAACAGCCTCCCTACTTCCGAGTAGGGGCAAGGTCTGCGTACACACACCCTCCCCAGACCCTACTGTTGTGGGATCCAACTGGGTTGTTGTTGTTGTTGTTTTGTCGGTAAATCAAGAGCACTCCACCCTATAAAATCTATACTTTCACTCTCAATTTAACTACTACATCTACATTTCGTTCAGCTTTTCTTCAACTTTTTCAAACTCAGTAAATTATAGGTGGGAAAAAATCCAACAAAAGATTGAGGTATAATGATCAATTTCATTTGATGTTTATACAATGTTCATGTTTTTCTACATATTAATATTTTATGTTTATATTCCTAATAGTCTATATATTCTTGTTTTGAGAGTATGGATGAATTTGAACGTCAAAATGCGGGACCTTTGAGCGAGGAGATAATGTCCTTACAGCTGACACATCGATCAGACCGCATTTGGAAAGATCCATTGTATGTGGATACAAAAGTTCGTCATGCAAGGTATGATACTCAAATCCCAGACCAATTTAAGGACCCGAGGACTAATAAGAATCCGGAAGAAGCAGGGTTTTATGGGGTGCACCATGTGCAAACCATGAAATTAGATCATGGTTTAATCACTGCACTTTTTGAGAGGTGGCGTCGTGAAGTTCATGCCTTTAATTTCACTTTTAGAGAGATGGGGAATCACTCTTCAGGATGTGGAGTGTCTAATGGGATTAAAAGTTGATGGAGAGGCTGTAGTTATTTCCAAGTTCAAGAATCCGTTTCAATACTTTGTCGATGTTATTGGTTTTCACCCCAGAAATCTGATTTTGATAACATGGATAACTTCTCACTAAATGTCCTCGATGTTCTCAAAGAGCAGTACCGTCAGACAAAGTTAGGGTCTTGAAACAGTACACCGCGACCATTATTTATAAGTTTCTAAGAGGATTTCTATTCCCGGGTAGCTCCAACAAATATGTTACACCAGATTTCTTACCCCTTCTTCTAGATTTTGCAGAAACAGCAAAGTATAGTTGGGGTTCAGCTGTTCTTGCTTATTTGTATAGAAATTTATGCAAGTTTTCACTTAAGAGTGTAGACAATATTATGCTAAGAGGGTGCATGCTTTTGTTACGGCTTTCGACCTGGGCGCGATTGTCCATAATAAGACGGACGACACACAACATTAATTTTCATCCTCATTGGGTGCAACGTCATGATGATCATTACGATGTTGTACAATTGAGACACCTCTTGCCTTATTAGTTTCACCTTGTATTCTGGATCAACACATATTTTGGAAATGATCATTCGCGATATGAATTAAATCAGTATGTTGATGTCATCAAAGCCATGTCTGAATGACAAGTGTGGCAGAAATATATTTTCTTACCTTCCACCCACTACTGTGTGCATCTTTCCATGCTTGAACAGGATGGTGGCATCGTGGGCTTTTAGAGTGATACCAACACCAGGCAGCCCAGGCCGTCGCTTTTTTGTACTCTGAGATCCAAAATCGATGATCTTTAATGCAGTATTTTGTTACCGCATTTTTCAACGTCTCGAAATTATCAAAATGCATAGATTTACTTAAAGACACTTTGTTAGAGTAACGAAGTATACCTTCCCTCGCATCAGCTTCCTTACGACGAATCCATGCAACTTCAGACTCATCATGATCGTTATTGCTACTCTCACTATCATCATCACTAGCCGAGTTGTCCAGGATTGCTTCTGGCTCAGTAACCAATCTACGAACCGTCCGTGTCGGAGGAGTGCTCTCTTCTGTTCCTGATTGACCGTCAGATATGTAGATTTCTAATATACCAAACGACTTATTTTTTTGAAAAATAAGTTCCACGTACGCTGGTTGTTGATTTTGATCACACGAAAACCTGACTCGTCACCCATAGGCCATAGCGTAGGGGATTTTTCCAAAAGCAAATGAAATTTGTTGGTATCCAGCTCCGCTAAAATAAACTTGGATTTCATCTCTTGTGATATCCCAACATAATCTTTCGTCAATAAGAAGTGTTTTTTTTTACTTTAGTTATGTACAAAATTACATCTCCTGATTAGATAACATCTCCACCCCAATACACATTCACCATACATTGCTCCATGGTATAGCAAAGTAAATTAAAATGCCATTGAGGAGAAGAGAAAATAATAGTCAAAGAGGAGAGGAGTAATTAAAATGGTAAGGTGATGATAGAGGATGCGATCAACACAAACAAATAGCAAAACAATGACGATTCTTCTGAAAAACGCCACGCCATCTCTCTCAGGCAAAAACAAAAAAATTAAATAATAAATAAACAAAAATGCCGTGTGGCATGGCGAAAGTCAAAAAAATAAATTATTAAAAATGCTGTGTGGCATGGCAAAACAAAAAAAAAACAAAAAAAATATTATTAAATTTCAGATTCGCCATGTGTCAAGGCGTATTTCCTTTGGAGGAATTCCCTTTTCTACTCTTTCCCTCTTAGGGAATTAATTCACACCCACATAAAGGTAAGATGGCACATTTATGCCACAATTTTGCATGGATATGGTGCAAGCAAAGAGTCTTTTTATGTTTAAAACGAGTAATTTGTTCCTTTTGACATATTGATGTCAGTCACGAGCATTTATAACATGTTGGGTGATAGTTTTGCTGGGATAGGACTCATAGGAGGATTTGCCATGTGGGAATATTTTGCATGGTTTTGTGCTATACTGCTATCATATGTCAGTGTTACATTCAAATGCATTTCATTGATGAGCGATGATCGCAATCACTTGTGTTTACTCTTAAATCAAAACATAGACACATTATCTTTTAAATTTAAGAAGGTTTCAGTCTTCTAGCATGAAGTAATTACATAGTACTGTATTTATTTGTTGGTGCAAATGGTGCAATGGGTTCATGCATAATTACATGAACAAAATCGAAGTGTAGCTTATTACACTTTTGAAATCATATTTATGAGGAATTCAGACGAAAAGTAAGATAATCTGTTCTTTATACCCTTCAACTTTGAAGAATACATTTCGTTATAAATAAAGAAGGATTACACTTTATACTAGTGGTTTAATATAAGTTTATGTATTTGACATCATTTATTGGTCACACTTTTACCATGTACTCCCTCCGTCCAAGTTGGATCTTCCCATTACGCGTTACAAGGCTTGACCGACTTTATTTTCAATTCAATTGATTGGATTGTAGGTGTAAAATTAAAAAAAATTATATAGTAAAAAACTACATAAATTCTATAAAACAAGAGGTGACATGATTATATTATTTTATAAAATAAGTAGTGAAAATAAGCCAACTAAGTGAGTAAAGTTGTTGTAGGGGTCATTTGTGGGTTGATTGGAGGTTGAGACCTCTTAGCTCTCTGTTGTTTGATACATTTATGGATAGACATTAGGCTTTTATTTTTTCCTTTGTTATTCCTTTTTTGCGTGCTTTCTTCACTTTTTCTCGTTCCTCTACTATTTCCACCATTGGGATCCCTCTTTACTTATTGGGGTAGGGTTAATGTCTTTGTACATCTTAGTCCCCAGACCCTAATCCAAGTGAGAGGAAGGCTTTAACCAATAACACATATTCTATTGCTGGCGTATGGACAAAAATAATTTCATATATCAATGGTAATATGGTATAATGTATAATTCATATATCTTCATTAGTTATGACTAAGTTGAACTCCTCCTTTCTGCTAGCTAGGCTAAGAACTTATTCAGTATGCTTATTTTCCATCAGTGAGTTCAAATGACTACGAACCCATTGGTTGTATCTTTAACTCAAAAGTGGTGTAAGGGGTATAAGGTTATCATGTGTTGCTAAAGTGTCTCTGCTTGCCTATTTATTACCCACAATTAAAATCATATTATGGTTTTATTTGGTTACATGGATACCCCGGTTGCCCCCACAGCCCTACTTCCAAATCACCCTTTTTATTTAGATCTCATCTTCCACAACATCCTCTGGTAAAATTGTGGGCTTACTAAATGTAATTTTGCAGCAGGTTTGCGTTTAAAGATTCACCGCTACCTCTTGGCACAAAGGTGGAATACAACTTACTGTTTTGCATTGGTGTTGACTTTCGAACATTTTTTTTTTATTTTAGGCTTGGAGAATGTCTAGTGGAGAGGTGAAGAAAGTCTCCCGTGAAGATATTCAACTGGTAAGCCATTTCATATGTAACTAGATTAAATATGTATTTGTGAAATACTCCGTAGACTGTAATATAGATATACTCTCTATTGTGGCAATAGCTAGTATTTTATTCCGTATTATTTTGATGAAGCATACAAGGGTTTAAATAGTGTGATCTCTTGACTGTATATATGTATGCATGCATGTGTGTGTGTGTGTGTATATATATATATAAATAATATATACACACACACACACATATATACCCCATCCCAAACTATTTGTCCTAGTTTGACTTTTATGCTAACTTTAATCATAAATTGTGAGAAAAGTATATTTAATTGTAATGCAAATTTAATATAATTGAGTTTGTTTTAATATGTAGTTTTGATATATCAAATTTTTATAATTATTGTCCCAAAAATTCACAACAATCCAAAATTGTTTCACACAAAATTGGCTGAGGATTGATTAGAGCTGCACTTTTAACAATAGTTAAGGTATTAAGGATTGAGACGGCTCAAGAGGCTCATTTATCTACGGCTTGATTAGTTTAAAAATGCCTATTAGAGAGGCTCCCGAGCTTGTAAGGCTAGCAAGCGTTAGAGGCTGGATTAGTTAGCAAGCTAAGATTGAGCAAACCAAATACTACATAACTCCGTATTTAACAAGCCAAACTCAAATCTTGGTTCGGCTCAATAACAGCCATACGTGTACGTGGCAGGATTATGTTGTTGGTGGCCGTGGGTGAATAGGTGATGATACTTGGAGATGGCCATAATAAGCCCATTACTAGGGTGAGTAGCTAGTGGTGCCGGGGACTGGCATATGGGTCAAAAGGGCATGGGTAGGGGCGTAGGGCTAGTGATGACAATTGTGAGTAAGTCATCAAGAGAGCAATGTCAGTAGGCAGTGGGAGTACGTTACGGGTGGTAATGACAGGGTAGCAAGTTGTGTGCAAGGTATGTATTGACGATGATGATCATAAGAGAAGCATGTATGTTTTTTATTTGGAAAATCAAAACAGTTGTTTTCGATTCTTTTGTTTAGTTGGAGAGAAAAAACTAGGGAACTTTTCATATCATGTTCTTTTTTGGAGAACTGTGATTTGAACATGTTTTCTGTTTTTTTTTAATTATTTAGAAAACTATAATTTTGAAACATGTGTTCTGCTTTGGAAAATCTTTCAGAAAATTTTCCCAATGAGCAGGCCGACAAATTTTCACTACTACAACTAACTGCTCAGGTGGCTGCAACACCTTTTGTGTAATTAGTCTCACTAATGATGCACTACTTACCCTGTTTAATTCAACTACTTTTGAGTTCAGGTGCAAAATCTTATAGAACGGTGCCTGCAGCTTTACATGAACCAGAAAGAGGTTGTGAGTACCCTCCTACATCAAGCCAAAATTGAGCCAGGCTTTACTGAACTTGGTAATAACTTTTTCTCCTTCTTACATGGGTATTTCTTTTCTAATACAAATAAGGAATCTGTTTCGCGCGCACACACAAGTGTAGTTATTCGGCTTCTACTAATTCTTCAGTGTGGCAAAAGCTTGAAGAAGAAAATCAGGAATTCTTCACGGCATACCGTTTGAGGTTAATGGTGAAGGACCAAATACTGAGATTCAATGAGTTGCTTGAGAGACAGGCTAAACTAATGAACCAGATATGTCCGGCTGGAGTGAGTTCGATTCCCTTGACCAAAGGTGGAACTCAAATACTCTCATGTAAGCAGCATCTTTTGTGTTTTATACTTAAAAGCTCATTCAGTAAGGCTTAAAACTAAAATGGCTGAAGTGCTTGAATGCTATCATGTATCAAATGACGCCATTGCATCCTATCATGTATCATATATGATGTGAGATCATTCACGTGAAGGTCCCCCTTGACCACTTCTTGCCAAGTCTTCTTACGTCTACCTCTTCCTCTAGCCACATGTCTATTCACCATTTGATCAACCTTTCTCACCGGATGATCTATTGGTCTTCTCTCCACATGTCTAAACCATCTAACATGAGTTTCCACCATATTTTCTACAATAGGTGCCACTAAAGATAAATGTACACATTTCATTTATATTAATTTCAGTTAATACAGTAAAAAAAAAGTGAATTCACTACTCATCATACCCAGTGTACTTTTCATTAAGTTTTATTTTTCATATGAACAGTGCATGAGAATACCTGCACAACAACTGAAAACACTGGGCCAGTCATGAAGGTTGAAACGATGAACCAAAATATGAATGCCAGTTTACTTAATGCTTACTCAAACGTGTCCACACTACAAACACATATTCAAACTGCACTTGACATGTCTCCTCATTCGCGGAGGATTAGTGTCTTACCAAGCACACTACTCGCTCAAAATGCCAATGTTGGGTTGATGCATGGAGGACGACCGATGAAATCAGAAGCAGCTGCAGCTTATCATCCTGCCAATTCTAATTTCTTGTTTGGAAGTGAAAGCAATGTTCTGGAAATCCGTCCAGCGATCACGGATGCATCCATTTCATCCTTCAGTAGCGTAGAGTCTAATTCACATAGCCTGAACGAGACTGTTTTGGATGCGGCTGATACATCGTTTGGGTTCTTGGGGCAGATACCCCGAAACTTCAGTTTGTCAGATTTGACAGCTGACTTTGCTAACAGTTCAGGTCTATTTCTCTCTCTCTCTCTCTCTCTCTCTCTCTCTCTCTCTCTCTCTCTCACACACACAACCCAATGCACACACCAGCAGTTTCATATTTTACTTAGCTGTTGATAGTATCCTTGAATTCATGTTTGTTTTTGTAAAGATATTTTAGAGAGCTATTCGAGATCGCCCTTTCTACCTTCCGACACAGATAGCTTTCTGGATCCTCATGGTACAATAGAACACCAAGGTAATTTGTGTTGCTTGTTTACATTGGGAATTATATATACGGAGTACTAAAGAGGCTAAGGCTAGACTGCACCATTGATATACTCTGTTGAATATTTAAAATGAGATTTAATTTTTTCTTATGCAGTTTCTATTAATTGAATGAGTTTAAAGGATTACTGTTTATATCACAGCTAATAGTTGTACTAAATATTCATTTTTTATATAATCTGTATTTCAAATTTTTTAAAATTTTTAAGTTAATGCTCCTTCCATCCGGACTTAGTTGTCTACTTCCAAAATATATCAAATATAAGGATTATAATAAAATGTTAAATCTGGACGGCCACTGGGTTTGGCGAGAGATGGAACAAACTGCAATTTTACTGGGAAATTCATGTAATTTTGTTCGAGAAACATTGTAACAGAACAATTGATTCCGTACGTCCTAAAAAGGAGATGTGGACAACTAAATGGTGGAGGGAATAGTTAGGCTACAAAAAATAGGGAGCTTGTTGGCGTGTTCCTAATTGGTTGAGCAAGATGCACATATGCCATCCATAGTTTGTAAGGTGTCGTCTAGGCGATAAGGTGTTGTCCCTTGGATGCCTAGCCAGCTCGCCTTGCCCAAAAAAACCTTAAGGCGTTCAGGCGCTCGCCTAGGTGTTTCCTTACCTCGCCTAGCGGTCGCCTCTCGCCTTGAGTCTATGGATACAGATAATGATATCCATATGAATGACCTCTTCAATGAAAATTTTTGAACTTGCATGTTTGGGTCATTAAACCAGCGGGATGGAGACTTGCATGTTCATAATTTTTTCTCGTCGACATTATTTATTACAATAACCCAATAGAGTTGTGTACGCAGACCTTACCCCTTCTTGCAAAAAATTATTAATTATGCAAGAACATTACCGATTCAAAAAATTAGGCTTTAATAATTGACCAAAAATGTTCAGTACTGTACACAGACTTTTACCTCTTTTCCTAGTACTAGAGGGGCATTCATATTCTATGTAGAGTGAGTATTTCTCAACTATACTGAGCCATAATTTTTCCTTGGATGCTGATATATGAGTTGTCTTGGAACTAGTTTCTCTTTTATTTATTCATATTCACTCTTTTGCCATATTCTTTTGCTCATTTCTCATTCTGTGTTTCTCAAATATGGTAGGTCCATTTGTTCCATAGGTTAACCTCTGGAAGGTTTTGTAAATAAGGGACTGGGTCATGAAAAGATTCTCAGAATGTGAAGAATTAGATTATGATGACGTCCGGGTTCACAGAAGGATGGAATACATATTAACAATTTGGAGGAATGGGTTTGGTGTATATGTGCATTTATTTGTTTTGTGCAAATAGTTTTACAGGACAAAATATGAACAGTACGAATCTCGCATTGTATTGTGGCGGTAAAGTAATGTATATTCATTATACCCAGTAATTAAATTGCAACTCATATATGTATTCCTAGTGGTGTTACTGAATCAGTTTATCACGTCACTAACCCGTATGATTCAATTCTATATATATGCTACTTCTATCCGAGAATATTCGTCTGTCGAGAAATTTTGATCTTCTATCAAATAAACATTGTGCGTAGCATTGCATATTAGTACAAGAATATTTTAATTGAATTTATCTTACAAAAAATATTCAAAAATTTATTCTATTGTGATAATATGCAATGTAAATTTGATTCAGGATTAAAATTTATCGAGATTGATTCAAATTTGATGAATGTTCTTAGACACAGGGTGTAGGAAAAAAACAATGGTCAAGTATATGACATGTGGTTGACAAACTAGCTGGAGTGGAATCGGGCTTGATTGATTCAGTTTTTGAGAATAGCTTTAGAGATTAGCATTAGCGTCTTGGATAAAATTTTAACGGTACAGATTACTTTCAAAATGCTAACCCAAAACGCTCTCCGTAAATAGGCTTTTCAAAATTGTAACACTAATCTCTAATGTTATTCCCAAATAGGCCCTTAGGGCTATTACCCATTAGAGGGTGATCAAAGGTGTTTTGACAAGAATCTAGAAAGAAAGCATATGATATTGATTATATTGCGTTTCCAAAGGAAGGTAAAAGAAAATACTTCTTTGGCAACAAACTTATATTTCTCCAAAAACGGAAGCTAAAGTTAAGATCAACATTAATGAACTGAAGGTTATTTATTCCCATTTGGATCAAGTTCTCAAATCTAAAAATGAACTACTGGAGAAGGTATATGGTACATTCGGATGTACCTAGAGATAGATGCATCCCAGTAGTACTCATTCTGAAGTAAAGTAGTACTCATTCTCGTACAAATATAAATATTCATTTCGAAATACGTAGTACTCATTCTAAAATAAAGTAGTACTCATTTTAAAATAAAAAAGTACTCATTTTTACACATTTGTCTAATATAATTATAACAAATAGCATCATGTTCATTATTAGAAAAAGCAATACACATTCTCAAATAACTTAGTGTTCATTCTGAAGCAAAATAAAATTCATACCATAATTAATACTATCTCCGTCCCAATGTATTTGTCGAGTTTGACTTTTTTGAATCAAACTGGATAAACTTTGAACTCTAATTACTTTCAATTTATATTGCATATTAGCATAATGAAATACAATTTCTAAAAGTTCTCATTACGATAAATCCAAAAAGTCATTCTTATGTTAATTGAAGCTCAAAGTTTGTCTAATTTGACTCGAAAAAGTCAAACTAGACAAATACACTAAGTATAAGTAGTAGCTTTCTTCTCCCCTACCTGACCCGATCACACATCGCTAGGGTTTTTCATCCATCCTCCAGAGCACCTTTCTTTCTCAATCGTACAGAGCAACTCTTCTTCCTCGCTAAGGTTTCTCATCCATCCTCCAGAGCACCTTTCTTCCTCGATCCGACAGAGCATTCTTCTTCCTCGCTAGGGTTTTTCATCCATCCTCCAACGCCTTCTATTTTTCGTCGGTGCGCCTATCCTTTGCTGGTTCTTCGAGCGGACTAATCTACAGAGTATCTCCTTCGATTTTTGTCGCCCTCCGATCCCTTCAATGGTGCATGATCCAAACTTTGGGTACAACCGGTTCTATAATATAATTTTCTCCTCCGTCTTTTGTCGTTTGATTTTGCCAGTTGTACCTAACTTTGGGTACAATCGGTTCTATAATATAATTTGCGAAAGTATTGGGGTCTTTCTTGATTAGGAGATGAGACCTAGAGGATAAAAGTTGTATGCATAAGACATTTAGAGAGGTAATGCGAAAAAAACAAAGGTACTGCTTCATTAATAAGTGAATTAATTCTTCAAAAAATCTGCTTTAATCCCAACACTGCCTCTTAAAGAGATTTTTTTGAAGACCAGACCAAGTTTAGCTCTCAACTTCTCAAATGGCCCCTTTAAAATAGATTTTGTAAATATGTCAGCAACATTGTCACTGCTACGGACCTCAAGTGCAGAGATAACTCCATCGAGAACTTTCTCGCGAATATAGCGATGCTCGATTTCGATGTGTTCTGTTCTTGCGTGACAAACTGGGTTTGATGCAAGCTTTATAGCACTCTGATAATCACCATAAATAGCACTGGCATTGAGAATCTGCTAATGAACATCACTTAAGAGTCTCCGTAACAAAAACACGCTCTTGAGCAGCAAGAGACGATGCCTCATATATACTCCGCTTCCGTAGTCGAGAGTGAAACTGAATCTTGCTTCTTACTCAACCAAGAGACACAAGTAGGACCATAAAAGAAAACATAACCTGATGTGGATCTTCGACCATCCAAATCTCCTCCATAGTCGCATTTGTGTAGCCAAGCAACGACATATCCGCTCCTTTTCTATAAAACAACCCAAGATCTGGAGTACTGTTGATATATTTTAGAATTCTCTTAGCCGCTTGAAGATGTAGTTTCCTTGGTGATTGCATGAATCTACTCACAAGACCCACAACGAAAGAAATATCTGGCCTCCTAATTGTTAAATAAACAAGACTCCCAACTAAGGCACGATATGGATGAGGATCTTGTAAAAGGGAACCTTCTCCTTTCCGCAACTTTATATTCGCATCAAGTAGAGTTGAACACTTCTTGCTGCAATCTGAAAGAACTTGACAATCATCTTCCTTGTATGCGAGCAGAATATCGGCGAGCTGAGGAGAAGTGGAACCATGATGTGTGCGAATCACGCCGTGAAGAAGTTTACCCGAGAAAGACTAAAACATTGAAAATATACCAAAATAGGATTTCCATGTTTTTATTCCCGAAATAGGACTTACATTACCATACATGGTCATATACATTACCAAAAACGTATAGTAATTTGCACATGTACACTGCCACATTACCACAAGGCAAAGTCACATTACCACAGTGCAAAGTCCTATTTCGGAAAAAAAACATGAAAGTCCTATTTTGGTACTTTTATCTATGTTTTAGTCCTATTTAGGGTGATTTCTAGAAGTTTATCACCAACAAAATTGTTGGATTTACGTAAGGAAGAACACTGCGAAGCAGTGTTAAACGAAGAACTCGATAGTATAACGAATCGCGTACGAAACGCTTTCAGATCAAAGTTATTTCGGGGTATACGAAATACTTCAATCGGATAAGACGTTAATCAAGAACAAGCACTCGAAAATCGGTTCTCAATCCATACCACGAGACTCTATTTTATAGAGTCTAAAATTTCTTGATCCGACATGATCGTTCGCGTAAACGTACACGTAGGTTCGCGCGGAGAAGAGGCGCGAGAAGTTCCTGCGGCTTTTGGAGTAAATTTCGATGTTATCCACTCGTTGGAGTCCTTTACCGTTTTGGAGTAAATTTCGATGTTATCCACTCGTTGGAGTCCTCGACCCCGGCCAGGGGCTCTGCCCCTTGGACCCCGCCAAGGGTTGCCGCCCCTTGGACCCCGCTACCCGGGGGTTGCCGCCCCCGGACCCCCGCAATGAATTTGTAATATCGTTGAACGAGCGCGCATTCCGCGCCTCCTAACTCGTTTGACAACGTCTATTAAAATTTCTGTCCGATCTAAGTAAATCCAATTATACAAAATTAATCGATGACACTAAAATCACCAACAAAAATGACAGTGTATCTCTAGGTGTTTTGTGTGCTCGTGAAAGACTGAACTAGTAGCAATATGAAGTGCAGTCGTGCTATCCATGATCATAAAATCAAATTTTGACTCTAAAGTCAAAATCAACTTGTGAGGTGCAATTGAAGGGGGTGAGGGGTGTGTTTGGGTCGGGGCCGGGTGGGGGGTTTTCTGGGGGGTTAGAGGGGGTAGGAACCGTCAATTTTACGAACGGGGCACCGGAGCGCCCCCGGGTCATCCAATGACATTGTCGTCCAATGTCACTTGAACCTTCCCATTCAAATTTAGCTTTAATTTAAAATTTGTATTGATTTTACTAACTACTAAATTTTCTGAATTTAGATGTTTACCTTCCATTTTGATGTATTAGACTATTTAACAAATTATATTTATTACAAAATTTGTTTAATATGTATGTTTTATATTTCTATACCCATTTTTGAATAAAATAAATTTTAAAAAATATTTTACAACGTAAATTCTAAGTGAGTTTCATTTCGGGAATGGGAAAATAGTCATTATTTACTCATTTGTTTGTGTATTTTTGTATTTACTTTGTATTTATTTATTTGTTTAATAATTATATTCCAACAACCAACTCGAAAGATTACTACTCTTAGCTTTTCATATATATTTTGGCTTTTCAAACTCTCATAGCCAACTTCAATAGCCATTTGTCAAAGACTCTGACCTATACAGTCAAAATTAGTAAAAAAACCAAAAGCCTTCCGAAAAGCCAATATCTAATCATGCCTAAAATGAACTTTCTTCCAAACTTTTCTCTCGGGCAGAATATGGGGTATTTCTTTGTGCAGATACTTATTGGATGATGATAAGTAGTTTTTAACTTATAAGATGCTTATAAGTTAATTTTTTTTTGTGCAAATACAATAATTTAAATGATGGATAAGTTGTTTGGAAATGTTTATAAATGGTGAGAAGTGATTTTGTAAGTAATTTAGAAAAAATAGATTTTTAAGAAACTAGCTTAAAAATAAGTAAGTAAGACTTATTTATTTTTTTGGCGTATAATCAGCTTATATGTCTACTTATAAGTATGGAGGATCGAAAAACATGTAATCCGCTGACTTATAAGTTAAAAATATTTTATAAGCAATTTCGATCAGCTTATAATAAATGACATAATAATATTTTCTTACGATGTTTGACTAAAGTTTTTTCAAATGAGTATAAGTAAAAATTAGTATAAAATAAAAAATACAATTTTTTAATAAAAAAACTCCATCATGATTCTATAAAACAGGTGGTGAGAGTATTATTTTATTTTATAAAGTGATTGATGAAAATGTAAAAAGAAAGTAAACTTAATTTATCCGTGAATAGTAACTTAGAGTCTTTGTTTGGACGAAGGAAAAAGTTGGGTATCTAGCTGGAAGAAAATTTGGCACCATAGGTGCACAAATTCAAAAAGCTAAAGTAATGGCAAGAAAAACAGAAGTAAGACAGAGTTGAATTTTGACATTTTATACAAAAGAAAAATTATCTGAAATAATCTCATTTTTTCACACTTTTCTAAAAATAATCTTATTTTTAAATGTAACAGAAAATAATATTACCTTTTCGAATGTGTGTAAATTTTGGGTCACCGTTAGGAAGCTAACACTCACTTAATAGATCTTTCAGAAAATGTCTATTTTTCACAAATAAATGAAATATGAGATTATTTTAGGTAAATTCTCTGTTTTTATTTTTTATTTTTAAATTTAAAACTCAAGTTTAAAAAATATAATAATACGCTCTTGTTAGAGATTTGTTTCACTTTTTTAAAAATATAATGATTCGAAAATTTTATATTTCTGCTTTGTGGGAAATATAATAGTGGATTATCAAAAAATAAATCGGAATATAGCTCGAGAAAGAAATTGAATACAAAAAGTTATCTATAATGATTTTTAAAAATAATTAGTACCATTGTGGAGAAAAAATTGTTGTGTCGTTAATATAACATGCAATTGAATTGTTATTTTAGGGAAAGAATTTGCACTAGATTATCGAAAAATTAAAAGTTTACAAGTTTTGTACTGTCATTTTGAAAAAAAATAATTCGAGTAATAGTTGATTATCGATAAACATTTCGGAATAATGCTCATGAAAAAAATTCAATACAAAAAAAATTAGTGAGTTATAGGAGTAATAATTCCATATCGGAGAAAAAATTGTTTTGTCATTAATTTTCACAACTTTTTAATGTTATTTTCTATAAAATATTTGTACTGAATTATCAAAAAAATTTCACAAGTTTTATAGGAGCTCCAATCCATGTTTCGAAGTGCCACTCAAAAATAATTCGAAATGCCACTCAAAAAAGCAATTACAAGTTGGTAAAAAGACTAAACTAAGTGTAAGATATATAGAAAATATCAAAATATGAGCTCTATGTTTTTATTTCTAAAATAAGAATTACAATGCCAATATATTATACCAAAAAATATAGTGGGATGCCACTCTACAGTGTCATAATGTCACAATGCAAATTCTAATTTTAGTGATAAAACATTGGAAATTCTATTTTTGATGAAAAATGATACTCCGTATGTTTAATTACATACTCCTATTTGAAATGATTTCTTTTTCAACTTACAAAAAAATGTTGTACGTTATGAAGTAAATAAATAATTCATTCTATTTTGTTTAATAATTCATTGTGCAATTTCACAACTTTTATAATATTAGTTTGGAAAAATAATTATTACCAAATTACTGATTATAAAAAATATAATTAGTGTCACTCTGGGAACAACATCAAATCTGATATTATTTATTAAAAAGAACTTAAAAAATATTTAAATTTGGTATTTATTTATAAAAAATAAAAAATTATCTAAAATAATCCAACATTTCATTTATTCTCGAAAAGTAGAAATTTTTTAAAAGATCCATTAAGTGACAATAAGAAAGTTATAATAATTTTAGATAATTTTTCCTCTACAAAATGTGAGATACTTCGTACAAAATAAGGAGTATTACCGAGTAAACTCCCGGTATATGTAACAAATTAATAAACCATTCCTGGCAGTGTATGTCAGGTGTTTTTTTTCCTGGCAGTGCAACCCGGAATTGTCTACTCCATTTCCTCTTGCTTTATTTTTTTAGACGGAGTAGCCTAATCCGTTTGGGCCCAATTATTTAATGACACGGAGTAGCTAACTCCGTTTGGGCGGAATAAAACCAAAACGGAGTAGCCAACTCCGTTTGGCCTGACTTAATCAGAGACGGAGTAGCGTACTCCGTGTCTCTTCAATTTAGATCTCCGTGTCTCCTCTTTTACACAGATCTGAGATCTGTAAAAAACCAAAAAAAAAAAAACGGGTGGGAGTTTTAGGGAAGGCCGACGGTCTGGGTGATAAACGACGAGGGAGGGACGACGCAAGGTAACGCCGGCGGACGACCCCACCTTGACCGGAGTCAGCTACTCCGTTTCGGTGCTTGAAGGTATTTTAATTTATTTTTTGTTAAATTTGTTCCAATGATTTTGAATTGTGTGAAAATATTAACAAATACTCCCTCCGTCCCTAAATAAACTTCCCTTTTTGACTTTTTGAGGATTTAAGGGAGGGATATTTTTGTGTTGACTTTCCAAAAATACCCTTGATGTGATGTGTAAAAATAAGATGTGATATGTAGATTATTAGTAAAAAGGTATGATGTGATAAGTAGGGTATGAAAAAGTAAGGGGTAAAAGGAGTTTTTTAAGGGAAAAGAGAAGTTTATTTGGGGACAAAGAAAAAACGAAAGGGAAATTTATTTGGGGACGGAAGGAGTATATTGTTTAATTTTAAAAAAATTTTATTGTGTAAAATAAATATTTAGACATAGATTGTATGCATAAGTGGTTAATTCATGATTTTTTAAATATAATTGTCTTGTTTTATTTTTATTAATTGAATATATTCTTATGTTGTAATCTTTGAAGTAAATGGATGTACATCCGGGACCTATTTTACGAGATGTTTTAGTAATTGAAGCGGGAGACCATAGGTGTGATGCGGTTTGGGCCAGTGAAGAATATGCTAAAAAAGTATTAAAGTGTCACAGGACTTGTACTAGTTTGTATACGAGGACTCTTATTGTCAATAGACCAGCTCGTGCATGTGATTGAGTTTTTACGAGAATATGGATTTTATGGGGTTGAGAAAGTTGGTGGCTTGCAGTTGGACTGGGCTTTGATCACAGCTCTAGTGGGAGATGGAGACCCGAGACCCACTGTGGATCATTTGGTTCCTAATATTTTTTCACTCCAGTCCTACATCAACGCTTATTCGGGCATCCTAATGTTGCTTCCCGATGAGGCCGACTGGCCTACTCCAGGATACGAGATTGTGAGACCAACTGCACGAGCGAGAACACAAACCGGTCGACCAACAAGAACTCGCTACCCGAATAATATGGACTACCGACCACGACGACGTCGCAATGAGCAATAGTTATATAATGGATTTCAAATGTCCAAGTTTATGTTTTATGATTTTCACAAAATGAATTAGTTATGGCATGTGTTTTGTATCCTTAATTTTATGGATAAATTTTATGTACTCTATCAATAAATTTGTTGTGATTTACTTCTTATTTTTAATTTGTTGTATGGTGCATTATTTAAAGTAAATAAATATTTAATTTATTTATGAATTTTTTTGTTCGTAGATTGTTTGTTTCATATATGTAAATAATTTGTTGATTTTTATATTTTTTTGTTTTTCAAATATATGAAATAAAGTAAATAAATGATTTTAAAAAAAATTTTTAAAAAAAATAGGTGAACGGAGTTAGCTACTCCGTTTCTTAATTAAATAAGTGGAACGGAGTTGCCTACTCCGTTTATGGTGAAATCTGCAGTTGAAACGGAGTCAGCTACTCCGCTTTGCTTTATTTGGGAAAATACTCATTAAAGTTACATATAATGGAACACAAACAACTACTCCCTCCGTCCTAAAACTTTCTTCCCAGAGCACTATTCCAACTTCACGGGAATTTATATCTATTTGTGTTTTTCATGGCCTATATGATAAAATAAAATATTCTTGTCACCACTTGTTTTGTTGAACTTTTGATGTAGTTTTTAAATATGTATGTTTTATTTTTTATTTCTATACCAATATTTAAATAAAATAGATTGAAAAACTTGTGATTTTTCTTCGTTTTGTACAACGGGAAGAAAGATATAGGACAGAGGGAGTAATATACACATGCTGGGAAAGGACCCAGTATTACCGAGTAGTAAAATTTAGAGTAAATTCTATAATTGGTCCTTTATAACAGAGAAGTTTCCCTATTTAGTCCTCTATTATCAAATATTATCCATGTGGTCCTTCTTTTCTAGGTACCTTTCCACAAATAGTCCTTTTTTTGATCTTCTATCATGTTGGTGTTAATTTGAGAGCTAAAAGTGTAATTTCACAATGATAATATATCTTTTTTTCATACACAATTCCAAAGGCTGTTCCGTTTGCGTCGTTTGTGAATTACAGTCGCTTTTTACGACAACTATAGTCTACAAATGTGATCTTTCGTCGGAATCCTAGCCCACAATCATAGTCATTATTTTTGTGTTATCCGCTTAACCAATATCAGAACACGTCACTAGACATAATATTGACGTCAAATTATACTTTTAGCCTTTAAATTAACACTAACACAACAGAAGATCAAAAAAGGACCATTTGTGGAAAGGTACCCTTAAAAAAGGACTACGAGGGTAACATTTGATAATAGAGGACTAAATATAGAAACCCCCATTATAAAGGACTAATTATGGAATTTACTCTAAAATTTAAAAAACCTTATTTCTTCTTTTTTATTATAAATACGTAGATGTGATGGACGGAGACACACACTCAGTGCTTCACAAATTTGATAACCAATCGATCACAGGCGTTTACCAATGGCGGCCAAGTGCAGTTCTGGTGTTGAAAACGGAGCAAATGTGGCGGTGGTAATGGTGCCACTTCCGGCCCAAGGCCATCTGAACCAGCTGCTCCACCTCTCCCGCCTCATCTCCTCCCACCACATCCCCGTGCACTATGTCGGAACCTCCACCCACATCCGCCAGGCCACCACCAGGGTTCACGGCTGGGACCCACTCGCAGCAGAAAACATTCACTTCCACGAACTCCCCACGCCGCAGCAGCAGCATCAATCTCCGCCGCCCGTTCCCGACGCCGACGCCGCCCCCAATTTCCCTTACCAGCTGATGCCGGCGTTCCTCGCAACAGAGCATCTCCGGCAGCCCCTCATTGATCTACTCCGCGAAATAGGAGTCTCCAAAACCAGGGTTGTCGTCATCGCGGACGCCTTTATGGGTTCGGTGGTTCAAGACGTGCCTTCTGCCGTACAGAATGCAGAGGTATATCGTTTTCGTTTCCTCTCAGCGTTCTGTATCTATTCCTTCCTTTGGGAGGCTACCGGGAAACCCGTGGTTGGGCCGGAGACTGAAGTACTGATGAATTTCTTGCCGTCTATGGAGGGCTGTTTCCCGCCCGAGTTCGGAAAGTTCATCAGAGCTCAGAGTGCGTCTTGGGATGCAGCATGCTCCGGAGATATTCTGAATTCCAGTCGAGAAATAGAAGCCCCTTTTCTTGATCTTCTTGGGAGAGTATCAAAGGGATTATTGCAATGGGCTGTTGGTCCACTCAACCCTATTTCTCTTGGCGATGCCGCAGCTTGCCCGAGAAAACGCCACGAATCCCTGGAATGGCTTGACAGGCAGGGAAAAGACTCTGTTCTGTTCGTATCCTTCGGGTCGACCACTTCTCTTTCAGAGGAACAGATAACAGAGCTTGCCATTGGGCTGGAACAGAGCATGCAGAAATTCATTTGGGTGTTGAGAGAGGGCGATAGGGTTGACGTTTTTGACGGCGGGGATTCGGGGAGAGGAATGCTGCCGGAAGGGTACGAGGAAAGGGTCCGAGGTAGGGGGGTTGTGGTCCGGGACTGGGCGCCTCAGTTGGAAATTCTGGGGCACCCGGCAACCGGAGGGTTTGTGAGTCACTGCGGGTGGAATTCGTGCATGGAGAGCATTTCAATGGGAGTGCCAGTCGCGGCGTGGCCGATGCACTCGGACCAGCCGAGGAATGCCACGCTCCTAACCCAAGTCCTGGGGATTGGGTTCAGCTTGGTGGACTGGGCGCGGCGGAGGGAGGTGGTGGGACGGGAAGAGGTGGCGAAAGGGGTGAGGAAGCTGATGGCGTCCGGAGAAGGAGGGGAGATGAGGAAGAGGGCGGTTGCGTTGAGTGAGAGGGTGAAAGAGTCCATCACCGCCGGTGGAGGCCGGAAGGAATTCGAATCCTTCATAGCTCACATCACCAGATAGATCGAGTGATTTTACTCCTCCCTTGTTTTGCATTAAGGTTCTCTCTCGCACTCGTTAATGTTTCTATACCATGTTTCTTGCCTACTACTATGAAGGGTTTGCCACTCTATTGTTAATTGAGCAATGTTAGGGTACACCTTTTTCCGTCTATCTCGTGCATTATCTAAGATTATCATCAAAAAATAAGTAGTTACAATTCTTATGTCCTAAAATAAATTTTATGTCTCATTTTCTAATTTTAAACAAACTCTAACCACATATTTTTAGTTTAGTACTCCTTCCGTCCGGAAATATTCTTCACATTTGATTTTTCTTGGTCAAAGTTTGTAAATTTTGACTATGATATGTGGAAAAAATACATTGTTTTGCGATATAACTTTTATATGAATATATTCATTTTGAAATATAGTTTTTAAATATCAATTTTTTTTAAAATATATCCATGTATAAATAAAGATATCAGTGGTCAAAGATATCAAATGGGAAGAACATTTTCAACTCCGAGTCCCAAGGATCCGAGGGCCCTGATCATTTATGTAAAATAGGTAATTCTTTGATGTCTTTGCAATTGAGAACATTCATGTCCTTCCATTCACTAATTGGCGTTTGTATTTCTATGCAACATAATACTCCTACATATGATTAATTAATAAGTTTTTTTATTTTTCTAAAATTGCAAAATTTTCCCAATCTCATTCTAAGCTTTAGTGATCTTACTTTTTCAATTTGATTACTTTAACATTATTTTTCAACTAAATATCCAGCATCATTTGGATATTATTTTTCTCACTAGTCATTATTAAGTCCTATTTAGGGAATAAAAAAATTAAGTCCTACATTGGGAAATTACTTATGTTTTAGTCTTATTCACAACAAATTTCACTTATTTAATACTTATTGATTATTTTCTTTTTCATTTATAATTAATTTATGTTCTCTACTTTCAACGATAGCCTAAAACACAATTATTTTGAACTATTTTTCATATTATTAATATAATTACTTTTATTATTAGTATCATCATCATCAATGTGAATAAAATAATAATAAATTAAAGCAGTCTCATAACTTATATAAAAAAATTGTCCCTGAAACAATTTCTAGCTGTCATTACAAACTCAATATACAAGTTTAAAATAATTACTAGTAATATATTAATGCATCCATCCCTATTGATTCTTGATAGAGAAAATTATAGAGATTTAAGCATATACACAGTATAATAAGAGAATTTAATTTCCATATTTCCCCATGTATAATTAATAAAGTACATAAAATAAATTGAATTTATTACATAAAATAAATTGAATTTATTTTAAAAATATAATTTTGAAATATCAATTTTTATTATATTTAATTATTTTAAATTATATTTAACTATATTTAAAAATTAAATTATGGCACACTAACAATATTTTAGAGATGGAGAAATAATTGAATTGATGGAGGTAGATGACTAGATATGGAGGGACAAAGACAAGACTGGGGAGAATGCTTTACTACTGAAAAGTTATACTCCGTATTTATCAAAAAGTAGCTTTATCTTTATGTGTTTAGTTTCAAACTATTAAATTATGACAAACTAACAATATTTTAGAGATGGAGAAATACGGAGTAATTGAATAGATGGAGGTAGATGGACGACAAAGACAAGACTTGGGAGAATGCTTTACTTCTTAAAAGTTGTTTTTATAAAAAAGTAGCTTTATCTTAATGTTTAGTTTTCAAACTCGCCTTCCATTGTCCCTTACTTTTGCAGTTTACTAATGTTTTAGTTATTGTAATAAGAGTAAATTTCATAAAAAGTCCCTAGTTATAGGTCGCTTTATACATTTAATTTCTACATATCAAATATTATTAATTTAGTCCCCAATTGTTATATTCATTTTCACAAATGATCCTTTGTCAACATTTCCATTAAGAACGTGAATAATATTGTAACTTCACACTCCTTTCTCTCCTCAATTAAGCTTTTTCTCTCCCCTCGCACTCCTTTCCAACCCCATCGCTGAGTTTGAAGCTTTGAACCCAAAATCGAAATCATCACTCTTCTCTCAATTGTTTGTCTAACTGCTGGACGATGAAACGGGGAACGAGATAAACGAACGGATGAACGACGAACGAACAACGTCACGCGTAGCCCTCTTTCTCTTCCTCCTCCTTCCTCCTCGTCTACTCATCGGAATCTCCTCCTTGGTCTACTGCTGGAATATGTATTGAATGGAAATTAATAGAATAATAATGGGTATTAATGTAGGGGAAATGAATGGTATGGAGGTGTGGGTGGCGTGAGAATTGAAGTGATTAAATGGAGAGTTATCTCCCTAAATTCTATTCCGTTATGTAAAATCTGACCTGAATGGTACACACTTTTTTCCCCGAACGAGTCTGAATCGAGATCCGTTTTCATTTCAAGAATCAGACAGTCAAGACGAATATCATGACGTGATCAAATAATTTTTTTCTAAGGATTCTATTTTCCAAACCCCGGTTCGAGTTAGTAATTAATTAATTAAATTAATCAATTCTAATAGACCGAGTCTCAGGGCGTTACACATATTCTACTAGAACAGGGGATAACACTTGTCTGGCATACTCTTGGGTATCAATAAGGTTGTCCTCATACAACTACATAAGAATGACTATTAAATATACATTACTTATATGGTGAAAAAGGTTTAGACTTATGATTATAGGTATGACATACCCCAATAATTACCGCCTCCACCTCCGATGTGGCTTTTTCCAAATTTGTTTGCGAATACTCCTGGAAAAATTATGCCAAAAGTGTTCATTTGAACAACACAAAGACATATACATGGTTCGAAAATCACACATAAATATGAAGACAACGAGTTTCATTTACTAATACCTCCATTTGGGTCTCGCCGAGTGGTGATGAAATCAGAAGTTTAGTTTCCTTTTCCTCTAACGCTTCTCCACCATCTACGACCCTCGACCATTTTCGATAGTTTCTTTGTCTAATGGTCTCTTCATCCTCTTCCAATTCCACCTCCACCTCTTTCTTAGACTCTGCATGACTAATGTCTTCCTCCTCCCCCTCATTCTCATCCTCCAAGTCCCCCACCACCTCCTTTTCTTCATCGTCTTCCTCCCCTGCTCATCCTCTGCGTCTCCCTCCTCATCCTCTGCCTCCTCGGTTGCATGTGTGTTTTTGTGTGTCCTCTTCTTTTTGTTCTTCAACAAGACATATATCTACTTTCTTAGAAAGTATTTCTATCTTTACTTTAAGATCTCCAAACTTTTCATCCACAACCTCTTTTATATGCGCCACCTCAGAAACAAGACGATGTATTGCGTACTCCTGCAAAAGAATAGTACATTAAATAAATCTAAGTCACTGCCACCAGGTATTTAAATTAAGGAAGATATATGCAATTGTGCGCGTTTCTTAGATATGTCTCCCTCATGCTTGCCAAGAATTAGCTCTTTTAGTTGGTTGTATTGAGGGTATTTGTTTGACCCCCATTTCAGAAATGGACAACCAGCTTTTTTGTCATCAAAGTCTGCAACAACTCCTTTAAGTTGTGGGAATTGTTCATAAGCCCACACCTAAAAGTATTAGGAAAATAGCTATAAGTATTATTCAAGTTAATACTTTGGAAATACTTGCAACACAAAAGGAAAATCATAAAAAGAGAATTTGGATGTCTTCATGTTCAGGTTGTCAGCTAGCTTTGACAAGAAACGGGCTAGTTGCCCCTCCATAGCTGCCTTCAGGTGGCGTACTGTGAGAAGGTATGACTCCCGCATGCATGGATAAGCGTTGAACTTGTCAAGGAGGTGAAGGTGAGACGTGTCAACACCAGTCCCCTTGTCTTTAGCTAATAACACATACTCCACAAAAAAAAACTTAGCAAACTAAAGGATGTCATCACCCCCATTTTCATCACAAAGGGCATGAAAACATTTGCGCACATGTACAAATGTTGTTTTCCCCTTATTCTCCCTCAGGTTGAATCGTCACCCTCATCCCCACCTTCCTCTCTATAAACCTTGGTAGAGGCCATTCCACTTATGCGACACCATTCTTCAAAATCAAATTTCAATATCGAACCATTTATGTTGAAACGTAGTTCATCCTCTACCTATTCTCTTGTCAGGTGCACGAGCAACAGATGTATGAGTTGGCCTGAGAACTGCAATGGCGGGGACTCAAAAAGGTGGCCAAAATGGGACTCTGTCTTGAAGCAATTCAAGTCTGAAGGTGTGCGTTTCTGTTTGATGATGTCAATTGATTTTCGAAGCTCGGAATAACATGTGTATTGTGCTTGGAAGTGGTCTGCACAAACAATTTGCAACGCCATTGCACCCAAACCTATATTTCAAATCAAACACAAGACAATGTAATACCAAAATATGAAATCTCATAATTACACTTTTTGTGTGAAGGTTATACAAAAAAAATGTTTGTGACTAGGAAAATAATAACGTAAGCATAACATACTGAATTGGGCAGAAAATTGACCATTCTTCAGGCATTTGGGCAGAAAATGTAGGTGTGAAGCTACTGTACACCATTGCCCAGGCATTTACATAAATGATTATAGAGTAAATTCCATAAAAGTTCCTCAATTATAGGTTGTTTTACATATTTAGTCCTTACATATCAAATATTACTAATTTAGTCCCCAATTATTACTCCCTCCGTCCCTGAGTGTTTGTCCATTTTCATTTTTGCACACTATCCAATGCACTTCTTTAATCCATTTTATCTTGTAATTTGTATATTAAAAAATTATAGAAATTATATATTAATAATCTATATGTTAAGACAAATCAAACAAGATCACACATGACTATTTTTAGGCTTACATATTGAGAGAATTTGATGAGTCAAAGTGTTTAGATGAACAGTTCCAAAAGTCAAAAGTGGACAAACATTCAGGGACGGGCCAAGTATATCATTTTTCACGAATGGTCCTTTGTTAACGTTTTTGTTAATAAAATGGATAAAATTGTATATTCATACTTTTCTCTCTCTCATCAATTAAACTTCTCCCTCCTCTCGTACTATTTCCCAAACTCATCGCTGAGTTTAATGCTTTAAACCCAAAACTGAAATCATTATTCCTCTCTCAATTATTAGTCTTCTTGCTGGAACCTAAAATAAAAACCAATAAGCTTTATGGATAAGTTTTTATCGGTTAGTCTCAAAAAATTGTAAAGAAAAAAAACGTTAAAACTCATTCATGAAGGTTACTGGTTTCGAAATTGGGGCTCCACAAGTTAGACAAACAATTGAGAGAAGAGTGATGATTTTGATTTTGGGTTCAAAGCTTCAAGCTCAGCAACGGGATTGGGAAAGGTGTGCGGAGGGGATGGAGTAAGCTTAATTGAGGAGAAAAAGGAGTGTGAATTTACAATTTTATCCACGTTCTTAACCGAAATATTAACAAAGGACCATTCGTGGAAATGAATATAATAATTGAGGATTAAATTAGTAATATTTGATTTGTAGGGACTAAGTATGTAAAATGACTTATAACTGGAGACCCTTTATTGAATTTACTCATGATAATACTTCAAGGAATTTTTAAAATAAATTATGCTATCACTGCCATTTTTGGTAGTCATTGATCGAGATGAATATATAAACAAGATAAAATTGAGTGCGCAGAAATCAAAGGTCGCTGAATATATTAACATGGGCACTATGTGTTGGTGCACAGGGTCAAAATACCATTGCCCAGGCTTTTGTGAATTTCACTGCAAACATAAGGGAAAAATAACGCAGCTTTGCATTTAGGGTTTCAGGAACATGCATTTGAGAATTTAAGATTCACTAATGTAACCAATTTTTGCGAAATGAAGTGCAATTGGAAAAGGAAGAGCAAATACCTTGATGGCGGACCACCAGCGGCAGAGAAGAGGCGTTTGAAGAGGAGGACACAGTCCACGAGGGCAGAGACGACGACAGTTGTGATGAGGACACGTACAGACCACCGGCGGCAGAGACGAGGGCAGAGATGACGGTGGCTTTGAAGACGGCGAGGACAAACTTCAGACCGAGAAAAAAGGAAGGTAACCGAGGAGACAAAGTTGAGAAGCAAAGTGAATTAGGTGGAGGAACTTCTTAGGTGGGGGATTACTTGCACGTGTGGGGTGGGGTAACTTTGGAGTGTAAGTAGCATTATCCAAGTCATTATTATGAAACCATTATTCCCTTTTTATTTGTGAAGACTAATCTTCAAAAAAAATTGAAAAATACTACACAAAAAAACAAAAATTTATAATAAAATTTGTCACACCTTTCATTTTACTACGCAAAACAGATCATTTTTGTTAACACTTTAACGGCGACCCAAGCCACTCACATTTGAGTAGAGGTAAGATTATTGTGCATAATGTTTAAAAAATATCAAGTAAAAAAACAAATGAAATAGAAACAATAATTATGCGCCCATGTCTCCACGGGGATGCACTCTAAATTGAAAAATGTACTCTTGATTTATTTTTAAAATTTAAATTGGAGATAAGAACTATGTTTTGATTTCTTAAATAAAAAATAGAAGCAATTAGAATTTGCTGAGCAATAAATTTTTTTTAAAAAATAAAAAGTTTATGATTCCTCTTTTTGCTTGTGCGTTGCTGAGCAATAAATTTAAAAAAAAAACAAAGAAAGGACATTTAATTTACTTTGCCTGTAATTTTGTTTGTGCGTTTATGATTCGTCTTTTTGAAAAACACCAAGATTGATTTCTCTCATGTGATATTGGATTCTGCATCGGATGCTTTTAAAATGGTCATTGATGCTTAAGAAAATAAATTTAAATACTTCATACAAATTTAAAATCTACTCTTGATTGTTCTTTTACTAATTCAAAACTAATTCGGTCATAATTAGGGATAAAAATACCTCACTTCTATTTCTAAAATAAGAAGCATGTCGGGATTTTTTAGTTAAAAGGGGCTATTAGAATTTCATAAAAATAGAGAATTTTTTAATCACATAATTTTTTCCCGTTTTAAGAACATCAATATTACAGTGTTTTGGAACATCTAAAAATAGAAAATAGAAAGATTATTTTAAGGACGAATGAATTGTGAACAATTAATTAAAGATTACAAAAAAAAGGAACCGATGGAAAAAGAAAAAAATGAAACAAAGGATGACCATTTAATTTAACTAGCTTGTAATTTTATTTTGTGCGTTTAGAGCATGCGCAATGACGAGGAAAAATAGAATGTCACACGGTAACATGATATATTTTATGCAATCAGTAAGAGTCCAGTGAGTATGTGCCAAGCGAGTTGAGTAGTATACCATGCAGTGATAAGTTATTATTTTTATCGTTTTTTAAACGTATTTTAATTATGAAAAATTATTTCACTTATCTTTTTTACTAAAAATTGATGCATTTTTTTTATATACACCATTCTTTCTTGTGCAATAATAAAACAAAACACAACAAAAACAAATTAGGAAGAGGCTGCCTCGCAAAGCAGGGTAAAACGGCTTGCCAAGCCTCGTATCTCTTCTCTCTCAACTATTGGGCAGGGCGGGGCAATCAAAATACTTGCTGCTGCCAGTGGTCTTATGATTACTCTTTTTGAAAAAACAACAAGACTATTTGTGTAAATAGATTCATTAATTGCTCCAAAACATATTTATGGGTGGCAATGTTTTAGAAATATTTGATGCACAACATACCTAACATCGCACACATTCATCCAGACATTTCATGCCTGAGGGAAAGAAACAGAAGAGTAGAAGTCAGGCAGTGCAAATGATCACTCCCACCGCATACATTGCCCATAACCTTCCAGTCTTTCAATACATTACCATAGTATACTTCACATGAACATAAATACTGTAATTCTCTCCCTCAATGACTAAAGGACTAGAAGAACCAATCCGAAATTCTTTGATGCTTGAGAAGCCTTGATTAGAAACTCCGTCAAACAGATTGGCTGCAACAATAAGAGTGGAACCCATTGGGACAACAAGTGAAGGCCTTGCAAGTGATATCACCCCTTCCGTCCCTACTACTTGTGCTGGATCCCTTTGATCTCTCTCGAAAAGAACGATTCGATTGAAATCTTTATTATAACGGGATGTATAATCATAGTTGCTGTAGTGGGCAACCAGACTCCCAAAAACCTTAGGAGAGAGATCAACATTTTCATTCTTTGATTTGCTTGGACCGCCTCAGAAAATAGAGCGTAATGGACTGCAGCAAAACCATGCTCACCTTGAACAACTGAGCATAGCAGTTTGTCATTCCATGTTGGACTATTAATAAACCAACTCCAGTGAAATTTTACACGACCCCTAATATGCAAGGGACTACTCAGATCTTTCAAGTCAAATTTCATTTTCACTGTCCGGCCATGTAGTACTGGAATAGTTTTATAACCTTCCTCTAATCCAAAGGCACCACTAGCTTCTTTGTTGAAAATGTAGTAGGAGCATGGAGGAGACAAAACTTTAATTGAGCCATATATTTGCAAAGCCTTCAGCTTTTCTCGGCCAATAAAGACAGATAATATTTGCAATGCACTGGACGGTAATGGAATGTCAAGATGCGCACACAATTGCCTGAAAAGAAATATTTGGACAAATTAAAAGCACACAAAACCACAAAACTTTACAAAGACTATCACCTAATGAAAAAGGACTTATGCAGAAGAAGGGGGTGGCGAGGGAGAATGAGGATTGATTTATCTACTTTGAGGAAATCAATTACAAACACCGATGTTGTATTCCCATTTGTTGTTCCGTAGCATTCCAGCAATAGCTACTTATAAAATTTAAGGAATGAAATAAAAAGCACACAGATAAATAACACAATAATTGAAACAACACAAATTAGCTCAACGAGAATCCATAGTTATGAACGGCAGGTGACGGGCGAGAGGACCTCTTTTGTGGCGAGTGGCGGGCGGTCAAATGGCGAACAAAAAAAGGCAAATATATATATATATATATATATATATATATATATATATAGTGCTCATTCTGGATCAATGTAGTGCTCATTCTTAAACAACGTAGGATTCATTCTCACACAACTGTTCATCACAATGTAGTTCATTCATAGCCAGCGAGACGACAACATAGGGTTCATTTTGAATCCACGTAGTGTTCATTCTAAGACATCGTAGGGTTGACTTTCACACATTTGTTCTTTATAAACGTAGTACTCATTCTGAAACAACCTAGTACTCATTCACAGTCTGCTCAATGTAGTGTTCATTTTGAAATAAGGTGGTGCTCATTCTCAAGCAAGGTGGTGCTCATTCTGAAGCATGTCATCTGACCGAAAGTGTCATCTGACCGAAAGATGTCATCTGACTGGAGTCAATCCCTATATATATATATATATATATATATATATATATATATATATATATATATATATATATATATATATCACTGGAGTAGAATGCTTTCTTCCTTAACATTTCTGGGTCTTTTGGAAATGTAACTTGAAACTCCTCATCTTTGTAAACCATCCATTTCGTTTGACAGTGAAATGCCAAAATATACATGGTAGCCTTAGAAATTTCTTTTCTGACAAACGAGGAGTAGAGATGGAAATCTCAATTAAAGGAAAACCATGGACGACATTTAGAGACCTGATTCCGTCGAAGTCCGCCCCATCTCTATGGCCCCAACTTCTCATCCACTCCAGCAAGTCACAATATATATATATATATATAAAGAGAGAGAGAGAGAGAGATTGGTTCCGGTGAGAAAGAGATCTAATGAAAGAAATAAGAATAACTATAAACCGTCCGATCTGATGAGTTTTCAATCTTATCGCCAGGGCATAGAAGTCTTTACGGCACTTCCTTCAAACGCAAACCATCGCGAGGCATTCTCATCCCTGATTTCTCGCGCACGATCTGATTCACTTTCCCCATTTTCTCTCTAACCTTTCTAGAGATATGAATACCCTTATTTACCAAACTCTTGCTAACCTCCAATTCAGCCGTAATTGGGAGCGACTTTGCTGCTCGATCTTTTATCATGGTTCCAGGTTTGTGTTTTTTGTCATTCTTTTTGTCTACAATTACGTAACCATGGTATGTAAATTTCACTAGCCTCTCCAGTTCGTTAGATCCATGGATGCGCTTACATTCTCTGTGAAATTACTTATAAATTTTTTTGGGATTTAGAATTTTTCTTAATGGGGTTATCGTTTCAAAGGTTGCTGGTTAAACTAAGTACATCTTCATGAAACACTGCACCCATATATTTTTGTATGCATTATGTCTAAAAAGGGTTATATTTTATTTCTTTATGCATTTCATGCATTTTGTATTGCATCACCATGTCTGCATACTGCATTAAATGACCCCCCATCGTCTGACCATGCTTACTGCATCAAAATGACCCCCCACAGCTGTTCATGCTTACTCAATTCAACAATGCTTCAAAAAGGTATTGGTAATGCCTCTAACTATTTTTTGGTGGACTACATTTCGTCTTTTGCTGGTTCCCTTTTCTCTTTGTTGTTCGTCAATTGCGGCCACTTTCATGAAATTACGCTTCATGTCGTTTCTCACCTTCTGTGTTTATTTATTCATATATATGTCCTCTAGTTCGCTTTTTTTGTATCCTGTATTACATAATTATAATTACGTAATGCATTTAGCTAACCTTCCTCCGTCGATTATGGCCAGTGTACACACCTATGACTTCAAACGAAGGCCCGACACATGCAACCGAAATTATTTCGACTTCATCCAACTTATTTATTCCTGCCTGCCCTGAAGAGGCCAAGCCCAAAGTGGGAATGGTATTCCAATCCTTAGAGGACGGATTTAATTTTTACAAGCAATATGCTACATTGGCAGGTTTTGACATTCGTAAAAGCACCAATTTGAAGGTTTCGGGTGTTGTTGTGTGGCGGTACGTTGTATGCAATCGCGAAGGTCATAAGCATTTTGCATCAACCTGCAACAAACCCACTCACGACGATGGAGACTTGCCCAAGGCAAAACAGAGGAGACGCATTTCCAATCGTGTTGATTGCAAGGCGAGTGTGGCGTTTACGCTCACGGGTGGTGTAGGCTACTCCATATCATCATTCATTGAAAGTCATAACCATCCCATGATGTCCCTTCAATCTAGGCCCTTTCTGAAAATCAACAGAAATCTAGAAATTGGCCACAAGAAGTTTATGTTGAATTGTGCAAAGGCGAACATTGGCCCTATGAAGTCCTACCGATTGTTTAAGGAATCAGTTGGTGGCTTTAATAATGTGGGTGCCACTGCAATTGACTTCAAAAATTTCAAACGAGACTTAAAGGCATATATTGCAGGCGCTGATGCTCAAATGCTCATTGACAAACTATTCAGAAAGAAACAAACATGCTCTGCATTCCATTTTAACTATTCATGCTATTAATCAACTGATATGTCTCACAATTTACTTCGGAAATTCAATACAAAGTGCACCAAACTTCAATTATGGTGCAACAAACTTCAATTTCACAAAAAAAAAAAACATGTCATGCACAATGCACTACACTGCTTATTTTGAACCACATACTGCATCTTACAAAACCAAATCCTATTACTTTGTATTACAACCAGCAAAGTAACAACCACACATCCCAAATGAATGATGCAATCTAGAACACATATATTGCTTGCCCAATTAAAATTTTGTAATGCTTGCCTAACCACATACATGCATCTAATTAACAGATTGATTCATGCCACTAATCAACTGATATGTCTCACAATTCACTTCAGAAATTCAATACAAAGTGCACCATAGTTATTACGGCGTCGCCTAGGCGTCCAGTCGGAACTTTTTTCTTGCCATGCTCCTTCGACTCGACTTAATTTCCGGAGCTCGCCTAGTCGTCGCCGCAGGGACGCCTAGACGTCTGGGGCGTCTTACGCCTAGTTGTCGTCGCCGCAACCGCAGGGACGCCTGGGGCGTCTTACGCCGTCGAATTCCAGATCTGAATGGCGAAGAAACCCTACGATCGCTAGATCTTTTCGGATCAGATGCGAGAGAGCCGAGAATTAAGATGCGACCCGACCCGACTCTTCAATTTTACGGAATTCCCAGCGACTACCGACTAGATTCCTGACTTTTGACTTGTATTTAGACTTTTCAGATTCCTGTTTTCCTTAGCACTAAGTACCGACTAGCACTAAATCCCCCGCCTAGCACTTCTTATTTTCCTTTAATATTAACCCTATATGTGTTATGTTTTACCATTTATTTCCTTTAATTAGAAGATGTCTTCTATTAGTGTTTTCATTTTTTATTTGTTATTTTCTATTTTTGAAAAGAACATATAATATAATATAATATAATATAATATAATATAATATAATATAATATAATATAATATAATATAATATAATATAATATAATATAATATAATATAATATAATATAATATAATATAATATAATATAATATAATATAATATAATATAATATAATATAATATAATATAATATAATATAATATAATATAAGATAATATAATATAATAT